CACAAACACACACACACACACACACACACATGCGGGTTTTGTAGACAAAAAAAAAACTAAATAGTACAATGCATTGAGCTAAATCCAGGAACGGCTGAGATCCTATGGGTTGTGCTCCGCTGCTGATTCTTCGAGGAATTCCTTGAAGAATTATGGGCTCTATTGGCGTTTCTACATTTTTTTCTTTCTTTCGGGGATTCTGCCTACGAGGTTCATTGATGAATTCCCTATAGTCACTGAAAGTCGGAGTTCTCCTCTGTTCTCCGCGATCGTGTGCAACTATCTTTGTCCAAAAATTCCCTAAAAAACGGTTAAATGCATCAGGGCACGATTCCGGCCTCAGTGAAAATGAAGAACACTATTTGGTCAAGCTTGACGGGCGTTGTTCTCGTGAGGGCCCCGAAAGGGCAGGCAGGCGGAGCCCCACGAATTCTTATGGCACGAGTGTTGTTCTCAAATGTCTTCCTTGAAGACCCCTGCAGTGGAGCACAACCCTATGTAGTTGTCGGTTACCTCTCCGAAAATTCTGCAGTAGAAAAGTGTCATCCAACCCCAATAAGACCACGTGGGACCAATTGGGACTCTCAAATGGACCTGTGGAAATAGACAGCACAGGCATGCATGGATTCATCATCTGCAGATCATATTAACGAAATGATCATGACGAATGATCAAGGGGTTCATCCCACCAGCAACTTTAAGTTTCCACAACGACAGAATGCAAACGTGTTTGAGGAGATGTGTAAAAAATCACATTTTTTTGTTTACTCATTGACAACCACACTTCTCTACAAACACGTCCAGAGTCACTCGTTGAGGAAAATTAACGCTGCTAGTGAGACTTGGCCCCAAGACGTCTTTCGAAACTCTGGAAGAAGGGATATCCAGATAACTGTTTTGATAGTGCGTTGATTAGCTTCTCGAATAAGTTTTGTGGTTTGTGGGGGGAGTGGCTACCGGTTTTGACAGGCTGGTCGGGTGTTTGGTGAATGCAAGGGGAACATGGTCACCAGTAGGGCCGTCCTTTGTTGGTTGCTACAAGATGGGGTGTAAATGATGTTTTTTTAATGTAGAGGGTATGCTTTTCTTTATTATATGATTAGGAGAAGGGCTTGACGTGACTACGGGTGGACTTAGATGCGTTTGTTTTTTGTCAAAATGATCTTTTTTTATGTAGAGGGTGCGCTTTTCTTTGTTACCTGTTGAGGAGAATGGTTTGACGTGACTACGGGTGAACTTAATTACGTTTGTTTTTTGTGAGATTCTAGAGTTTTCGATGGGTTCATGATGTTGACGATCGGTAAAGTGTGTTTTCGAAGTGGCTTTTTTAGGAACTATACGAAGCATGGTCTGGTTGGATCTAGCCCTCTTTAGGGTTGAGTTTGTCTGCGGGTGTTACTTTGGAATGAACTTGGTCATGATGGCCAAATAGGTTAATAGGAAGTTTTCCTATAGGGAACTATGACTTTCTATAAGCGCAAACACTCCTTATCGTATATAGTTGACGATTCATCCAAACTAGACCAAGACCCCTGACGAGTGCTGGTCAGCGGCCAGCCGAAACCGGTATGGTCACTCGTCGTGCGTTCCATCGTTCATCATTCTATTTTTCACGGAATGAAGTCGTGTTCGACATTTTTCGACTATTATCCGGGTGTCTTTCTCTTATTTGCTTTCCGAGTCTACGATTCTGTTTGTCTTTGTCCATAATCTTCTGTTTCCCCTTTCTGATCTTTTCCATCATCTTTTAAGTCTCATGTTTGTTTGGTGTGCTAACGTTTACTGTTTTAGCTTTATATATCATTCGACAAACAAACCAGTTCCATTAAGGGCCTAGCTGCACCACTTGCCATCCGCCTGCATTTCGGATGCATATGGACAATCACTCGTCTAGATGCAGTCAAAAGCTCGGCGGACGGCGAGTGGGTCAATTGGGCCCTAAGGGGTGGACTCCACTGCTCGACGGCTGGAAAAAGTGGTTGGCCATAGAAAATAGTGGAACGAGTTTGGGAAGACTTTGGCGGGTTTCCTTGGGACCCCACCGCCGAAGTCTTTCCAAGGCATTGGAAACAGCAAAACATACCCGAAAAGGAAAAGTCGGAGGTTCCCCCTGAAAAGGAAAGTTGGGATGGGCTTGCCCGACCATAAAACGGTTCGCCGTGACGTCAGCTGACCACACCCACTGGGCCTCTTCTTTCCAAGGGAGAACATGCCCCCATCCCCCTTGTCGGTTGGCAGGCCTTCCTGGAAAGGTCGTGGAAGGATGACTTCGTCGGTTTCCAGGCCGCCAACCATGTAGAAATGCTTCTGACACCTTTCCCACTACATCCTTCCCCTCCACGGTCAATGGGGTCTGAAAAACCTTTCCAGTGTGGGTTTCCATGCAGGTTTCCAGATGAGTGGAGTCCCAAAAACACAGGCCTGGAACTTTTTTTCCAGGCCACCGAGCAGTGGGGTCCACCCCTAAGGCCGGGACGGGATAAGTGCCGCCAACCATGTAGAAACGCTTCTGACACCTTTCCGGCTACATCCTTCCCCTCCACGATCGATGGGGTCTGAAAAACCTTTCCATTGTGGGTTTCCATGCAGGTTTCCAGATGAGTGGAGTCCCAAAAACACAGGCCTGGAATTTTTTTGCGGTGGGGTCCACCCCTAAGGCCGGGACGGGATAAGTTTTTCTACGCCGTACGATCACGGATGTGGACGGCTGACTGCTCATTGGCGTTCAGGGTACCTTATCCTGTGTCCCCTCCCCCTCCCCCCCCTCCTCCCCTTTCAGGGGTACTTATCATTTATGCGTGTGAGCCTTGCTAATCTCTTTTCTTTTTTTTCTTTTTTTCGAAGGGCGATGCTAATCTTCTCTGTATCTCCCGGGGAACCCCCCCCTCCCCCCCTCCCTTCTCTGTATCCTTCCAATTTCTTTCAGGGGTACCTATCATGATGGCTCCCCCTCCACTAACTGCGCACCAAATGTGCAAAAGGAGAATGAATCTTCCGCTAGGACATGGAGAGATGCACCGCCATATTTAGTTTCCTTGATGCATGTGGTGAGTAGTGGAGCGCGGCCCGATGTTGGTGGGCGACAAGTGTCCCGCAATAGCAGAGGATGATCGTCGTCGAGGGCGGCACGAGGCCCTCTGGAAGGGGGAGAGAGCCAAGCGGAGGAAGGAGAGGGAGGGGAGCAAAGGGAGAAAGGGGAGCGAGGGGACGGCGGATGGACGTGTGAGGGGAGGTCGCGCTCTGAAATCAGCGTCGGCGCTGCTGACGTGGCTGCTGACCTGGCCCCAGGGGATTGGCTTGAACTTTGCGGCACAGGCGAGCACACATCCACACTGTGCGGCAGTGGAGGCCGCCACTGGATGACAGGGAGAGGCTGCTGCTCTATGCGGCGTTGGGCGGCTCTGTGCGGCATCGAATAACAGACAGAGCGGGCGAAAGGAGGGTGGAAGCCGCACACGGGAGGCAGAGACGGCGCGGCGGCGGGGGGCGGGTGGCATACAGTTTCTTTTTGTTTTTTTGGACATACACCCTTTGTGCGGCACCAAAAACCGCACTTACATCCGGATTAAAAAAAGAAAAAGACCTCCACTTCTTTTTTTTTCTTGATGTAACGGTTCTCTTCGAGGTCCCGATAAGCAAGCATCCTGTCTTTCTTTTTAAATTTTATTAGTTAAAAAAAAAAAAAACTTACCTTCAAAAAAAAAGTGCGCAAGCTGGTCGGTGGTGGAACGATGTACGTCAACGCACCGAGGGATGGAGATTGATCGATGAATCGACAGTTCGTTCGAAGCCTCACAAATCAGTGTCATCATATGGATTCCCCCTCCCCTCTCTCCCCCCTCCCCCCCTCTGGCCGGTGTTTTGATGAAGAGTTGGAGGGTAGCACTGAGAGTAATAAGACTTTTTTCGACTGAGCTCGGGATGTAATTGCGGTCAGGTGCATCCACGCATGGCCGTAAAAGCGGTCAGGTACATTCAGGAAAGTCCTCGTGCGAGTATCCCCTTAGTTTGGAATAGGGGACCACCATTTTGGTAGGTAGGGTTCTCTTAGTAAGAGCAGAGTCACACTACGTGTACCTTCCGGGACGTATTTGGCCGAGATTCCACTGCTAGATTCAGTCACATCACTTTTTTTTTTTTCCTGCATAATCAAATAGGAAACTGTTAGAAAGGAAATTATCAAAAAAGTCCAGAAAAGAGAGAGAGAGAGAGAGAGAGAGAGAGAGAGAGAGAGAGAGAGAGAGAGAGAGAGAGAGAGAGAGAGAGAGAACCCATCAAGGTTGTGCCTTTGCCATCACGAGGCGTAGCAGAGCGGAGAGGCAGGCACGCAGGCATCTGGAACGTTCGTCGGGATCGACTGGACCAGACCAGTCAGAAATCGACGGCGGCTGTCTGTCCCGACCAGGTCCGAAATCGGACGCTGTGTTGAAGAGCCGACGGCTGACTGGAAAAAAAAAAAAAAAAAAAAAAAGAGTAATCGGTCGGTCCTCATCAAGGAGTAGACCACATTGGGAAGAAGCAAAAAGAACAAAGGACTAATTAGTAATTATCAAGCTCATCAAGTACTAATTACCCCACCCGATCGGAAGGTCGGCCTCCTTGACCTGGATGAGCTTGGCTGGTGATGGCTGGCGCACGCTGTGGAGACGCAGTAATTGTGTAAGGAACGCCGGGCCCGTTTCCAGGCTTGCATAATAAAATTCTCATTTTGTGTGAAAAAAGGAAGGTCTCAAAAAGAAAAAGAAAAAAAGGTCTCATCATTGATGCATCAACCGTTGGATCGACCATTCGATCGATCGCTCGATAGACCCGATAATTTCGTTAATCGGACCGGTGATCGACCAGATACATTCGTTCATTGGACCTGTTTGATCGGCTAGATACATTCGCTCTTTGGATCGGTCGATCGTTTTATCGGATCGATCGATCGATCTATTCATCTCACAGTACCTGCATGTAATAGAGATAGATAGATGGATAGATAAATAGATAGATAGAAAGAGAGAGAGAGAGAGAGAGAGAGAGAGAGAGAGAGAGAGAGAGAGAGAGAGGAATGGCAGAATTCTTTTGCCATGAAGCACATTGCGAATGCAATGCCATCTTAAAGCCTGCATTGTTTAATCGATCACTCAGTTAATTATCTATCAATCAATCAATCAATCAATCAATCAATCAATCAAACCGTCAGGTCATCGATCTACCCACAGTAGACGACAAGCTGGTCTTGATTTTTTCCCTGGTGTTTCAGCTGGCATCTGGAATCATGAATGCCCTCCGCTCTGCTTGCGCGCCTGCAGCTGGAGTCAGGTTCGCTCCAGCCATAGCCGTGCGCCGGGTGCTCGCTTCCGGGTCCCCCTACTGCTGCCACTGTTCGACGCCGCCAAAGGGCTCTTCCTCTCATCCACTAAGAAGGGCGACTCCTTATGTACAATTCACGGTTAGTACAGCTTCCCGACAAACGTGTATCCGCCATTCTTACACCCTCTCTCTCTCTCTCTCTCTCTCTCTCTCTCTCTCTCTCTCTCTCTCAGCAGACAAACTTGTATCCACCATCACACCTTCTCTCTCTCTCTCTTTGTCTCTCTCGGCAGTGTCCCTCCCTCCCCTTTTGTCGTGTTGCTCTCTAGGTCTGTGGCTGGAGTCCCTAGCTGCAGTCTCTCTCCCTCCCCCCTCGGCTGCACTTTCTTCTCCCTCTCCCTCTCTTTCTCTTCGCTCTTCCCCCCGGTTTCGCTTTCTGTCGTACTTGCTGAGTCCCTTATTCTCTCTCTCTTTCCCTTTTTCTCTCCTTCCTCTCTCTCTCTCTCTCTCTCTCTC